GGGGTTACCTTCACTACAGATTTTGAGCAGAACCTTGAATTTCCAGGAAGCTGCTTTTCCTGAACATCCAGACTGACCTTTGACCTCTCAGACTGTTTTCATGACCTGAGACAAACTGAATGAAAGACAGAGGACCAACAACAACAACAACAACAACAACAGGGCCTGTAGTCTTTCTAACCTTCACCAGATGGTCTTCACCTGTCCTTTCAGTGAAGAACATTCTACCACCTGTTTGTTGGGAACCACTCTTTATACACCATGACACAATTCTTCTCTTTCTAGCATCTCTCTTTATTACAGAAAAAACAGTGTGAAGCCTGAAAGCGTTGCTTCTGTGTATGGACAGAGGAACTTTCATCTCATCCTACAATAATGAAACCATAGCAAAAAGACCTTTTGATGCATTGAGCTAGTCACTGAGAATTTACCACAGTGTCAGAGTTTGAAGATAAATGCTAGAGGAGGATGGTTTGGATCCATCTACCTCTGGGTTATGAGCCTAGTACGCTCCCTCTGAAACACTCTGCTGTGTGTGCTGTGTTTTGGGGCTCAGCAAGTTGACTGTGTTTATTAAAACCCATCCTCCTGGAATAATGTTGTGGTGTTGTTGGTGCTGACCTCTGACACTGGCTGTTAGGGATGGTCCACTGAGCTCACACAGTGGTTTGGATGACAAGAGAAATCAGGGTGATAATAGTTTTTATAGAAGCTGTCTGTATGCTGTGGGCTCTGCAACATTTGTGTAGATGCTGGAAGACAAAAAGAAGAAAAAAACAGGCTTCCTTCGAGACCGAGTTGAACCAGCAACCTAAGGATTTCAGGTATTGAACATCTACAGTCCTCCGCTCTACCAGCTGAGCTATCGAAGGAGATACATATGTAGGTGTCCCTCCAGTCCCCTGCTCTGGTTTTACCATTGTCATGTCACTGTTTGGTGATATAAAGGGGTCAGCTGTAATAATATATCTCTTATTCTGCTCCACAGTGTGTAGAAAATCCAGAAGACACTCTGAATACAGTGACTTTTGCTCTGCTTGAATTAAGCCAGATGAGTTGGTAGAGTTATCTGGTCTTAATCCCTTGTGGATTGTTAATAGTTGCATGAGTTTCATGGTCACATCTGCTGACGGCCAAAGATTGGATAGAATAAACATATACTACAGGACTAGGGTCATTTTCTGTACAGAGTTAAAGGATGCTGTCCATTTAGAAGTCTTTAAATTCAGAATCCCTGGTCCCTGAAGCCCTGTGACAAGAAAACACCAAATCAGTTTCCAAAGTCTCCATTCTGAAAGTTCAGTCATCAGGACATTGAGTTAAACTGTATGGGGGTGGAGAAGGAACAAACCATTACAGCCACAAAATGGACATTCTCACTCTACAAGGTTACAAAATGGACTAAATTATTTTGTTTCTTTTCAGAACATTCTGAATCCAGTTGTGACCAGAACCAGGAAATACGACCATATTAGTCCAGTGCTCAGGTCTGCACTGGCTTCCTGTCACAGAGAACAGACTTTAAAACAGCTCTTTAAAACTTTCAGTGGGAGAATGGAGAGGGGTGAAGCCTTTTGGATGGGAGAAGCAGAGTAATGGAGCCAGGTAGCACCAACCAGGCCTAAAAAGCAGAGAAGGGTGATGTAATCCCCATACATGTAAACTTTAGAAATGTGGAAATATGAAAAATTGACATCAAAACTCAAACCAAAATCCACCTGCTCTAAACTCTCTTCAACCCTCACTGTTCGTGGAAGCTTCATGTAGTTGAATAAAACTCATTTTCGTGGCAACTGTAGATTCTTGGCAATGTTGACACTGACCTCTGTGCCTGTAGCCTTTCTCACCTTTGTCAGATGGTTTATCTGTCTAATCCTCCTCATATATGGGAAAAGGTATCAACCACCATTTTGTTGCAGTTATCCAGTATTATTTCAGTTGGTTAGAAAGACTTGTTGGGGATTTGAATCCGGGACCTCTCGCACTCAAAGCGAGAATCATACTCCTAGACCAACGAGACGCGTTCACCACTATAGTCATGGCCAGAACTTTTGACAATGGTTCAAATGTTACTATTTACAAAGTCTACTGCTATAGTTTTTATAATGGCAATTTGCATATACTCCAGAATGTAAAAAAGAGTGTTCAGCATAACAGCAATAAATTGCAAAGTCAATATTTGCCTAGAAAATTAACTTTATCCCCCAAAACACATTTCAACGTCATTGTTGCCAAAAAAGGCCCCAGGGCGCCCAAGAAAGACCGGCAAGAGCCAGGACCGTCTCTTAAAAGTGTTTCCCTCAACAACCTGAGTCCTCCTCTGTGACCGCAGTCCGGTGCGCTTTGGAAGGCGCATACTTTTTTTTCGACTTGCCATCCCACTTCTGACACCATCTGTGGTGGGGTCCTTTTGAAAAATAGGCAGAGGTCGACTTCCAGTGCTGATGTGTTTATTTTACCCAAAAACACCAAAATGCACAAAAATATTTACAGTGGAGAAAAACTATATACAAATATGTACAAAAATAAGGAATGAAAAAAAGAGCATTTCCATAGTCAGTGGAACTCTCTCTGTCCTCTGCTACCTGCTCTGTAACCTAACAGCTCTCTCCATAACCTGACATCACTCTCCCTCTAGGCCTGAAGGGCTCCCCTTATATATTTAGGACCCTCCCACTGGACACTTTAGCAAAAATCCAAACAAAATACCTTTAGAGGCACTCACACAGGGTATATTCTGCTAACCAAAATAAACAATATATTAAATCAAAAGGTTTGATCGTTGGTTCAGGATTAAAACTCTCAACGTGATGAGTTGATCACCTGATCAATCTAATGGCGCCAACACTGCCTATTTAAACCAGGGGGAACGATTAGATCTGCTTGCCCATGGAAGGAAACCCCACACAACTGGTAACCCAATGCTGAAATGTAATATGTATGTATACGGAACATCCCCAAGTGTGCACCCATGGGGATTGTAACCAGCGGGAAAACGGGGCAAAGGAAATTAAATAACGTGTACCAAAATGAATAGCAATGCAGGGAAACGGGAAATATGAAAGTGAATGCTACATGTATGTAACTTGGGTCCGTGATTTTAAATAATGGCCGAGAATAATTTAATAAATGTATGTGCGTGTACATGGATGTGAGTGCGAATGTCGCGTCTACCGGTGGATGTGTGAGTGAATGCGCGACTTGATTGTCATGTAGGTGGGTTCTTGAAGGGAGGACTCAGGTGCGGAGATGACGGAAAACAAGGTTTATTATAACAAAAAGATGGAGGTCCAGACATGCTACAAAACAAGGCTGTGGAAAACTGTGAGCAAAGTATCAAAGCAATAAGAAAACAAGACTGTGGCAAAGTAACAAAATAAAGATTAACAAAACTGTGACAAGGCTGGCAAAACATGGCTATGGAACAAAGTAAAAGACAATAGCAAAAAGCAAACCTGGCATGGGGGTGACGAAAGACAGACGAAACAAGACGGGCGCACCAGACAAGGGGAAACGAGGAATATTGAGGGAGGGGAACCCCAGGTGTACACAATAGGTAATCAAGACATGACAAGACACCAGACGTGACAGTGATAAGTGACGGACGTGCTCCGTCACAATCTGTTCCTAAAAAAGTCATAAGGAAGAAGTTACAGGACCAAATTCACATGCATCAGTAGTTTATGTGGAAATGTACCCTTTTTGTTAAACTCTTTTATAGAGGTTGTCTAGAGTTTCTCATTGTAACTGAAGTTTGAACCAATAACACAATCCCATTTAAAGAAACATGGCTACCCCAAAAACTGTACAATTACCCAGTTTTATCTTTGATATGACATGAACTGACACATGACATGAACTCCACTTTTACCACATATCTGTAAAACAGAGTGAAAAACCCCCAGTTGAAAACACTCATTCTGTCAGAATGGCTGATAATATAAAAATGTATAACATTTAGAGGCTTACAAAGAACTTAAATGACATTCAC